CTACAACAATGAGGTATCATCTCACACCTATCAGAATGGCTATCATCAACAAATCAACAAATGACAAGTGATGAAGAGGATGCAGAGAAAAAGGAATCCTCGTGCACTGCTGGTGGGAATGCAGACTGGTGCAGCCACTGTGGAAAACAGTATGGCATTTCCTCAAAATATTAAAAATGGAACTTCCATTTGACCCAGTAATCCTACTTCTAGGAATATATCCCAAGAAAACAGAAACAGCAATCAGAAATTATATATGTACCCTTATGTTCATAGCAGCACAATTTATAATAGCTAAGATTTGGAAACAGCCTATGGTAAGTGCCCATCAGCAGATGAGTGGATTAGAAAACCATAGTATATCTACCGAATGGAATGCTATGCCGCTATAAAAAGGAAGGAACTTTTACCATTTGCAACAGCATAGATGGAACTAGAGAGCATTATGCTAAGCAAAATAGGGTGGTGAAGGCCTGGGGCAAGGGATGGGCAGGCTAGAAAGGGTCAAGGAGGAAGGGTGCATATATAATACTTTCAACGATAAAAACTTAATTAAAAATAAGTAAATATTACACTTCTACAACTATAGTCTTCTAGGTGTACCACTTAATGCGGATTTTTTTCAATAGATGGAGTTACACATATGCTGATATATATGTGATTTGATATATATACTATTTTGTTGTATTGACATCAAGTTTCAAAACTTCATATATCAAATTTGCTGACGGTGTTAACATCATAGATATTTTTACGTTTAAAAAGGTCGAATTTCGTGCAAAAAAAAAGAGCATTTGTGGAAAGTTTTAATTCATTACTTTATTTTGAAGAAAAGTGCTGCTGAAAGTTATCATATACTTCAGGAAGCTTATGGTGAACATGCTCCATGTCTAGATACTTGTGAAGGCTGGTTTAAATACTTTAAAAGTGATGATTTCGATGTGAAAGACAAAGAAAGTCCAGGTCAACCGAAAAAATTTGAAGACCAAGAATTACAAGTATTATTGGATGAAGATGCGTGTCAAACTCAAAAATAACTTGCAGGAAGATTAAACGTTGCTCAGCAAACAATTTACAATCATTTACAAGCAATGGGAAAGATTTTAAAGGAAGGAAAATGGGTGCCACATCAACCTAACAAAAGAGAAACGGAAAACTGAAAAGTCATCAGTAAAATGTTGCTTCAACAACACGAAAGAAAGTCTTTTTTGCATCGAATTGTGACTAATGATGAAGTGGATTTACTTTGAGAGTCCCAAATGCACAAAATCATGGCTTGATCCAGGTCAACCATCAACATCGACTGCAAGGCTAAACTGCTTCGGAAAGAAGACAATGCTCTGCGTTTGGTGGGATCAGGAAGGTGTGGTAAATTATGAGCTTCTAAATCCAGGTGAAACCATTAATACTGGTCGCTACCGACAACAAATAATCAATTTGAACCACGCTTTGATCGTGAAATGACCAGAATGGGCCAGAAGACACAGCAAAGTAATTTTGCTTCATGATGATGCACTATCACACACTTCAAAACAGTTAAAGACATATTCAAAGATCTTGCCTGGGAAGTATTAATCCACCAGCTGTATTCACCAGACCTTGCTCCTTCAAATTACCATTTGTTCTGATCGATGGCACATGCACTTTCTGAGCAGCACTTCAAAACGTACAAAGAAGTGGAAAATTAGGTCTCTGAATGGTTTGCCTCAAAACAAGAAAAGTTCTATTGGGACAGTATCCACAAATTACCTAAAGATGGAGGAAATGTGTAGCTAGCGATGGACATTACTTTGAATGAAGCATTTTTGATGTTTCTCTTGAAATTATTGTGTTGTCTTTGATTACAAAATCCGCATTATTAACTGGTACACCTAGTACATATTTAAAGCCAAGAGTCATCGCTCATAAACAGTGTTTAGTGAATGATTAGCATATGATTATACCGCATCTGGTGGTAACTGGTTCTGTTGTTGTTTGGCGTGACTTTCTGCAGTAGTTTTAACATGTGCCAGCTGATGTTCCAGGTGTGCTAAGCAGCATCCCAGCTGTGTGCATTTATTAACTTGTGGTAACTGGTGAATGCATGCATTTACTATTACCTATTCAGTATAAATATAAAATCACAGTAATACATATAGATAACTTTTCTATGAAATTAAACTTTTCATACATACTTCATTTTAATTACCCAAATGTGTCTATACAAGTAAAAACAGGTAAACTAATTTGTTAAATTTTTAACATATGCATTCAGAAAATCTACTTAATTATATAATGGACTTTTGGCTTTAATGGCCACCCCCTTGTCCAAATTAGTCCATTATATCCAGGTTTTACTGTACTGTATAATTCTTTTCATATTACACTCTGAAAGTAAAAAATTATTGATAGTAAACATATTAGTATTTACCTGGGGTTAGGTAGTGGGTCTGGGTAGGTAAGAAGATGGCTGTGGCTAAAAAAGGATATCACTAGGGATCCTTATTGTCATGATCACAAGAATTTACACATGTGATAAAACGGCATACACACATTATACCAAAGTCAAATTCCTGGTTTTACTATCTGTAATAATAAAAGCGTAACATGCTAATTAAACTGGACAGCCGAAAGAACTTCCGGACGAAGCAGGGGCTGAGAGGGCCAAAGGCAGCCATGGCGGCTGCAAGGGCCGGGCCCCTTGAATGAATTTTGTGCATTGGGCCTCTAGTTTTATTTTTTATTTTTTAAAATATATTTTATTGATTTTTTACAGAGAGGAAGGGAGAGAGATAGAGAGTTAGAAACATTGATGAGAGAGAAACATCGATCAGCTGCCTCCTGCACATCCCCCACTGGGGAAGTGCCTGCAACCCAGGTACATGCCCTTGACCGGAATCGAACCCGGGACCTTTCAGTCCGCAGGCTGACGCTCTATCCACTGAGCCAAACCGGTTTCGGCAAGTTTTAATATAATTTGGTTTTACATCTCTAGGTAGAGGGATTATATTAATTGTGCATTTCTTGTTAATATTTTCCAAATTACCAATATCTATTATTAGACTGGGACTACAAAAGGATTTCACATGGGAAAATAATTTATAAAAATATGTTTACAAAAATAATCGGAAGTATAAAATAAATGTAATTTAGAAAACCAAGGATGAAGTTTTATTTTATAACTAAGACACTAGCACAGATAAAAGGATATGAAAAACTGATTAAAATAATAGAGGAAAATAATAACTGTCATGGTAAAGATTTGCATACATTGCAAATCATTGTAAAAGGAAAAAAACCTTTTTCTGAGCAATTTTTCAAGTGGAAATTTGATATTATAGTAATATTGGACAAGTTTCCTTACTCTCCCTGTTGGCATCAAACTTCCACTTATGTTTTACCACAGTTTTGCCATCTTTTAGTAAATAGTAACTCTATACTTAAAAACAGAGTCAAGTTTTTCTTGACTACCCCAAACCAGATTAGTCTTCTGCTTCTCATAATTCTTATAAGTTTGAGTAAAACTTAGTATAAATTTATAGAATTAAATAATAGCTAATGATATTGCTATGTTTCCCTCCTATGAAACTCTAGAGTCCACTGTTGGTACCTCTCCTGTGGTACTTTCATATCCTGCCTTGTGTTTGTCTTATCTGTCCCATTAGATTGTGAGTCCTCTAAGATCAAGGCCTAGTCCACATTCATCTTTACTTATCCTGAAATGTACATTTCACTCAGTTAATACTGTCTTGTTCCACGAGGTGTGCAATAAGATTATGAACATTTCAAATCAGGCATGTCAACCTCTGCTTCTTCATAATCTTTACAAGTACACAGTTTAGGTCTAGGCACAGTGATGTCTGAGGTATACTTGTTAATTTCTATTTATTGAAGCATCTTTAAGAAATATGTTGCAGAAGGCATAATATCTGACAGTGCTGGAGAAATAAATTTTGATACATATAAAAAAAGAACAGATAAAGTAGTCTCTAACTTTAGTCTCATTAAACAGAAATAAATTGAGAATTTATATACATGGTAGAAGTTCCATAATGGGATTAAGAATTATAAGGAAAGTCCCACTGGCGTGACTCAGTGGTTGAGTGTCGACCTATGAACCAGGAGGCCATGGTTCAATTCCAGGTCAGGGAATATGCTGGGTTGAGGGCTTGATCCCAAATGTGGGGAGTGCAGGAGGCAGCAGATCAGTGATTCTCTCTCATCATCATTGACCTTCCCCTGGCCTCCCCAGTGTCTTGTGTCCATTGGTTATGCTTATATGCATGCATACAAGTCCTTCAGCTGATCTCTCTCATTATTGATGTTTCTATCTCTCTCTCTCCCTCTCTGAAATCAATAAAAATATTAACGAAAAGAATTCTAAGAAAAGTAAACAAGAAAACTAGCAGCAAAGAAAATTTTTAAATGTTTTTTATTGATTGAAGAAAGAGGAAGAGTGTGAGAAAGATAGAAACATCAATGAGAGAGAAACATCCATTGATTGCCTCCTGCATGCCTGCTACGGGGATCAAGCCAGCAACCTGGGCATGTGCCCTGACTGGCAACCTTCTGGTGCATGGGACAATGTCAACCAACTGAGCCACACCAGCTAGGCAGAAAATAAATTTTTTGAAAGTATGTTTCCAATAAGCTTAAGAAAAATTACAAAAAAAATTTGGAAAGTCACAGAACTTCTTTCACTGAAAAACTTAGCAATAGTGCCTGTGAAGATTTAGCCACAGAAAAATTTAAAAGCAAGGGGTAGGTATGAAATGACTTATTGTATGAATACACACTGTATGAACAAAGACTGTGAATAAAAAACACTCTATAAACACAACCCTGGCAACTTTAACAATAACTGCCCTCTTTTACTTTCTAAACAAACACAAAAGACAAATAACTAGACTCTACTATGCTTACATGTGCCTTTCATGCATGTCATTGTTGAAGAACATAATTCAATGACCCGAACAGCCGAAGTTCCTGGTTCCTCTGCTGGCACTGTCAAAATGGAAATCTAAAAAGCAGAAATAAAAATCAGACACAGCTGTTAGATCTCATTTTCATTTCTTCTATCAGAGTATAGTTAACATCAAAACTGAATATCTTTTTCAACCACTCACTGATGTTTGAAAAAATTTAGCTTGTAAGGGTTTTAGAAAAGAATTTGATATCCATAACACACATATGTGTACTAAATCTGATTTCTGCATTATTTTATATCATCTATAGTGCATTCATATAATTAATAGATAATGAATATTTCAAATATCATTAATATTTATTAAATCCTTCACTTATTTTCAAAGGATACAATTATGACATATTACTTCTGAATTATTTGCACTTCAGTGTTTGAAATCAGATCATATTAAATCTATTTTTTCCATTTTGATTATTCATTATGACTAAAAATAGCAGTTATGGAATACTAAAATATTTTTATATGTTTCAAATTCCAAAGATATTAAAACAAAGTATATGTCAACACATACACCAAAGTATAGGCAAACATATACCAAAATGTTTCAAAATGAATGGCTTCAAATTAATTTAAGGACTCCATTAATAAAAGCAGAAATTTATAATTAAAAGTGAGATGGAAAATTATTATTAAATAACTAGAGGCCCAGTGCACGAAATTCATGCACAGGGTGGGGGGTGTCCCTCAGCCCGGCCTGCACCCTCTCCCAATCCGGGACCCCTCAGGTAGGGTCCCTAGGCCTGGCCAGTGATCAGGGCCTATCTGGGCTTTCCTTCCCCCGGCTGCCGTCAACTGGCCTTGCCCCTGCTGCTGCCAAAAATAATTTTAAACATTCTATTTAGGTGATTTTTTTCATATTCTCTAGGTATATGAAAAATTTACTGAAACCTTGGATATTATTTAAACTACTAGAAACCCGATGCACCAAATTCATGCAAGAGTAGACCTTCTTCCCCCGCTCCGCTCCCCACCCCCCCTGCTGCTGGCACCGGCTTCCCTTGGGCACCCAGGACCCAGGCTTCCTTTGCAGAGGGAGGCCCCGCCCACCTGCTGCAGCCCACCAGTTGGTGGCCGGGGCCTCCCTCTGCGAGGCAATCATGGGGTGATGGCAGGGCCTACCAACTAATCACATTGCACCCACCTTGGCTGGCCTGGTGCCAGTGCATGTCATAGCATGGTGGTCCAGAAGGTTGTTCTATTGTTCGGTCGATTTGCATATTACACTTTTATTATTATGGATTATTATAGACCATAGGCCCAGTGCATGGAAATTTGTGCACTACAGGGGGAGAGTCCCTCAGCCCGGCCTGCGCATTCTCACAGCCTGTCCTCAGGGGATGTCCTACTGAGGGAGGTGACTGGGCTGGCTGATCAGGGGACAGTGGTGCCCCCCCATCACCCCTCTGCCGCCGCTGGTTGCCATTCCCCCCTATTGCCGTTCCCTCCCTCTGCCTGCTGGCACATGCCTTGGCCAGCCTAGAACCCCCAGCTCGCCGGCCCTGCCCCCTGCCAACTGGTTGTTCCGCCGTCTGGTCTATTTCCATATTACACTTTTATTTTATAGGATGTTTACTGATATATGAAATGCTGTCCTAGGCACTACTGATATGCTATATGGCTTTATATTTAAAAGATTTTAAATGACCATTAGGTCAATGTTTCTCTATAAAACCAAAGTTTCAATATTAAACCTCAACCTAATCTTTACTCTGATGAAACTATACTCTCTCATTTAGGAAATACTTGCCAAAAGGTAAAGCCTCATTTGGACTTTTACCTGTGATTATCATGCTTAGATTTTGATGGTAATATCAGGTTGATAGCCCCCAGAGGAAATGCCTACAACAAGCTCCCAAAACAGAAATTATTTCAATAACCATGACTATCTTACCACTTGTACGTGCATTTTTGGGCTTACAGTGTCTCAAAAACTATGTTCCCCATACTCCTAACTCCCTTTGCTGCTGTCCATGAAAGAAAATGTACTTTAGGATTAAAGAGAGAGGATCCACTAAAATATATAATCTTACCTAATAATAGACAAACATGTAAATTGACTGTCCCTCTGCTATGCTCACTAGCCAATCAGGAGAGTATGCAAATTAACCTAACAGATGGCAGTTAATTTACATATGTAGGCATGAAGCAGTGGAGCAAAGACTGAAGGCTCCGGCCACAGTGAAGGCCTGGGTCCTGGAGGAAAACCAGTGCCGGCAGCCAGGGGAAGGGAAGGCCTATTGCACGAATCTCTTTGTGTAATGGGCCTCTAGTGCTATGTTATAATTATCAAATGATTATGACTAAAAACATGAGTATAACCCGAAAGGTCTCTTAAGGACTACAAAAACATATAAGTACTTCATTTATTATTGTTATTCTTTTTATTAATCCTCACCTGAGGATAGTTTTTTCTATTGATTTTTTAGAGAAAGTGGAAAGGAGGGCAGGAGGAAGGGAGAGAGAGAGAAACATTGACGTAAGAGACACACACTAATCTTTTGCTTCCAGCATGCACCCTGACCTGGGCCAGGGATTGAACCTGCAACTCAAATACATGCTCTTGACCAAAAAATCAAACCTAAGACCCTTTGGTTTGCAGGCAGGTGTTCTCACCACTGAGTTACCAGCCAGGGCTTAAAGTGCTTCTTTTGTTTCCTATAACTATCATGTATACTTTTTAAAAATTGAGATATAATCAGTGACCTCCAATCACAGAATTTTCCATATCCTGAACTCTCAGGAGCCTCGATATTTACAAGGAGGACAGAGCCCACAAAGGAAGTGGAGAAGGAATAGCCAGAGTTATGAGGAAAAATAGGAGAGCACAGTGCCATAAAAGCCAAAGGAGTATAGAGTTTCAAGAGAAAAGAAATCATCAACATTGCCAATCAAATGTACCAAAAAATACCTAGTGACAAAAACCAAAAAATGCCCCGTGGCCCTGACTATTATGAAGCAATTAAAGAACTTACCAAGATAAATTATGCCAGAAATATGAGAGTAGAAGCCATGTTAGTCCAGAAGTGAATGAGAGGTAAGGAGCTAGAGGCAGCAAGTACAGATAATATCTTGAACATTTTGATAAGAGAAGGGGAGATTGGATACCAGCTAGAGATGGGGACATAGTCAAGGGAACATTTTATTATTTACTTTTGGGATAGAAAATGCTACTACATATATACAGGTTGAGAGGAAAATGCCAGTAGTTGGGAAAGGCTGGAGATACAGGAGAGAAAGCAGGTATACAGGGTGCTGTGTGTGTGTCATTGGCACTTGTGAAAGAGTATAGCTTTGGACAAGGGTAGGAGCCCTCTTAATCTCTGTCCTGGTATACAGAAATTATAGGTGGTGGAATAGAATGTCAAGTGCCACTGTGTTTAGTAGGTGGCCTCACTTTTCTGTGAAGTGGGGAGGAGGTTTTGAGAAGTTTAAGGGAAAAAGGGTGGGTAAAATAGTGAGGACCTGAATTAGCCACTGAGGGTAAAGGGAGAGAGAGCTGTCTCAAGCCAGTGGAAGAGCTAGATGATGATAGGTATTAAGATCCAGCTGAATGAGATTGTTGCCCCTGACACTGTGGCAGTGCCAGTCTGTCTGATTGTGTGGTTTACTCAAGAAGCCCTCAGTGATCCAGATGCAGATTGTCCAAGTGATGGGATTTTCCTGTGTGTGTGCAGTGGAAGAACATGATTACATGGGATTTGAAGGTGTTGATGGAAGGGCAGTTCAGATCGACCATGGGATCTAGACCATGGAAAAGGAAGAGGGCAGAGGGAGCTAGTAATCTGGGAGGAAACAAAGGGGACTAGGAATTGCCAGTCTCTTAACAGGTCATTGACCAGGCTAAATGGGGGGTAAGAGAATGAAAGCTGGAACGATAGGAGCAGATTAATACCATTGTAAACCCATGACCTCCAGACTCAACTGGGCCATTAATACTGCCCAGCCATCTGGCCATGAGATAGGTCATTTTCTAACTCCCACAATGATTATCTGACATATTTCCTTGAGCTTTGATCCATTCCCATTCTCATACTCCCATTCTCTGGAGATTACCTCACTTTGTAATTTAAAGAGTAAAAGTAATGCATCAGATGGGAACTCCCAAATGATCCTGCATTCACCCTCTTGTCTCACATCCCATCTAACAGCAACACTTTTACCTGTTCTCTGAATCCTATCTGCGCTGGCCTTTTACCTGGACCTTGCTGCATCAGTAATCCTC